TCAGACACTGGAAGTGTTTCCGCCCTGGCCGTGGCTGTCCTCACAGCTGACCAAATGCCTCACTTGGAGCGCAATCCGGGCCAGCTGCCGCCACATCTGTCCTCCACGTTGCTGGTTTGGCTCCAGGGCTGGGAAGCCCCATAACCAGCTGTGTACTCACAGGGAGAGGGAGATCTGCCCTCGCCAGGCCTTCTAGGGCCAGTTGGGGCTCCGGCTACAGCTCCAGGTGAGCCAGCACCCTCGGGTCTCAGGGCCACTGTCCAATAGGGTGGCCACTCGCCACAATGGTGATCTAAATCCAAATGTCAATGAATTATGAATGAATTAAATTACCCACTGGATGGCTACTATCAAAAATAACAAGTGTTGGTGAGGATGCAGAGAGACTGGAACCCTCGGGCACTGCTGGGAAGGAATGTAAAATGGTGCGCTGCTGCGGAAAATAGTATGGAGGTTCCTCAAAAAATACAAAAGAGAGCTACCTTAGGGGCACCTGGGTGGCTCAGTCAGCTAAGCGTCTGACTTCGACTCAGGTTATGATCTCGCGGTTGGTGAGTTCGAGCCCCGCATCAGGGTCTGTGCTGACAGCGCGGAGCCTGGAGCCTGCTTCGGATTCTGTGTCTCCCTCTCTCTCTGCCTCTCCCCACCCTGCTCACCTGAGCACTCTCTCTGTCTCTGTCTCTGTCTCAAAAATAAAATAAGTAAATGTTAAAAAAAAATAGAACTATCATATAATCCTGAAATTCCATTTCTGGGTATATACTCCGAAAGACTGAAAAGCAGGGACATGAAGAGATTTTTGTACACCCACATGCACAGCAGCATTATTCACAATAACCAAGAAGTGGAAGCAACTCAAGTGCTCATCGACAGATGAACGAATAAACACAAGGCAATGGATGCACACAAGGGGATTGTATTCAGCCTTAAAAAGGACATTCTGGCACACGCCACAACATGGATGAACCTTGCAGGCGTTATGCTGAGTGAAATAAGCCAGTCACAAAAAGATAAATACCATATGACTCCTCTTATATGAGGTAACTAAATTAGTCAGAACCACAGGGACAGAAAGTAGAAGGGTGATTTCCAGGGGCCAGGGGAGGGGAGAGTAGGGAGTTAGTGTTTAATGGGGACAAGATGAGAGAGTTCTGATGGATGGATGTTAGGGATGGTTGAACAGTGGTGTAAAGATAGTTAATGTCCCAGGACTGCACACTTTATTTCTTTAAATGTTTATTTATTTTTGAGAGAGAGAGAGAGAGAAGGCAAGAGAGTGAGTGTGAGTACGAGAGGAGCACAGAGAGAGAGCGAGACACAGAATCTGAAGCAGGCTCCAGGCTCTGAGCTGTCAGCACAGAGCCCGACGAAGGGCTCCAACCCACAAACCATGAGATTATGACCTGAGCCTAAGTCAGACGCTTAACCGCCCCAATGAACTATACACTTTTAAAATAGTGAATGTAGGGGCACCTGGGTGGCTCAGTCAGTTAAGTGACTGATTTTAGCTTAGGTCATGATCTCACGGTTGGTGAGTTCGAGCCCCACATCAGGC